ATATTGAATATGTTGAGAGCATATTGTCATGCCCACAGCACCAGCTTGTTACGAGAGGCAACAAATGATGCGAAAATGACTCATCGCGTAATGACCACTTATGCACGACTACGTAAACTATAAGGAAATTCAACTATTTTTGATTCGACATATTGTTTATCATTGGTTCTACGGCATTTAAAATATTCTGCGTGCCACAAAAATGCCTGCTTGTTATATAACGTCACAAAGCCAGGGACCATCTCCATCTAAACGTAATTCAAGTAGGCTAGCTGCCAATCACATAAGCAGCGGCTACATATAGCAGCTGGCGAGATGGATTATGAATTTAATAAAATATTTCCATATGCAGCATAACGGTGTTTAGTATTTTGTGCGTGTGTATATCTCTGTGAGCTCATATTTATGTAAGCAGCGCTGCACGTGTGTGCTTCTTTGCTGCCGGAAATGTATTTTGAGCAGCAAAAGACAATTCAAGCTGAGTGAAAACCACCTAGCCCGATTCCTAGCTAAGCCTCCATAGTGATAAAAACCAAGGGATTTAACCTTCTTCCTGGTCCGGTGGGTCAAGTTGTGGGGCAAGCTTGAAAGCTGAGCTTCCGACTGAGCTAGAGTCCACCACTTTATTTGTGGCCACCTTAAAGCTGCCGCTATGGCTCCAAGTTACCATAAGCAAAGCTGATCGGGTTTATCATAGACTAAAGCGGAAAGAATTTTCGACCTTTCAGTACGTAAAAACTTGAACATCAAAAACGATTCGTCACACTCATCGGCTCGCTACTCGACAGAGCAGCGGTGATGGTATATCCTTTTCGAAGAAAATTATTTTCCGGAAGTTGCAAATGCTTTGGCCAGTCCATAAACAGTTTGCTCGTTCCCATCGGTAACTGCATCAACAAGCCATTGCAGAATAAAAGCATGAACAAGTGATGTAATTTTATAGTGTCCCTGTTCAAAGCTTGCCTGCTCTGCAATACTACAAGACAAGACACGAAAGAGTCCCCTTACTTGTTAGTTTTAACAGCCTGCAGCCAAGAGTGACCATGGTGCACTCGGGAAAATGGAGGGGCTCAGCCTCCCATTTCTTAGTAGGAGGGCTAGCGCCCTCCTTGCCCCCCCCCCCCCCCCCCGGCTGATACGCCTATGATGGTGATAAAATTAGTTAGTTAATCGCTTAATTTTCCTGCCATAATTTCGCACAGCCACGCAAAATTTCTCACTGGAAAAATTGGCAGATCCCACGTCCTATGGGAATTGATAATATGCAAAGCACAAATGAGGAAGGTTGATATGTCTCTTCAAAATCAGCACGTTACAAGGCGGACCTAAATTATGCCGTAAATGACTTCCACGCTATGATTATCAAGTTCGGATGTGTCACCTACGTCGTCCTTCACGTCAAGTGATACCAAATTTAGTATCGCGTAACGTGATATGTGGAGCTAGCAAAACGGCCGCGAGCACGCTGAGCATAGCATGTAGTCATGTTTTACATGACATGCATGTCATAATTATCATGTTAAGACGTGTCATTTACTTTCGTCGCTATTTCCGTCATGCTATATCAAATTTGGTATATGTGGAGCTAGCGAAACGGACGCGAGTGTGCTATGAGCATAGCAAGTAAAGTCGCCGACCGATTTTCCGGACTTCATAAATGCACCGTCAGGGATCCCATAGAGCTAATGCATTGTTTCGACCGATTTTTCGGGCGAATTTGCCCCTGAAAGTTCGATTTTTCGGACTAAATCGCTCGTTTTGTGCCACGCCCCAAGCCATTGTGAACGCCGCCATGTTGGATTTTCCGTCGGCTTGGCTAAGCTTGATCTTCAGATGCCTTTCCTGCCTCCGAGATTGGAATGCGCACGCCATATTTTAAGTTTCGGAGGCCGTGTTTGCTTTTTAAAAGACGCGGTGATGGATGCCGTTTTTTCGTCTTCGGTCAGCACTATCGTCATCACATCGCACGGGGAGAAGGCGAAAGAAGGATTTTTTTATTGTCGTTGCAGCTTTTTTCAGTCGCCATTCTGCACGTGTTGTGTCGCGTAGCGTCGAGACGTTACTTACTATTACTTCACTATTGGGGGGGGGGGGGGGGGGGAAGATAAATCTAGTGGTTAGTTCACTAAGTATTACGGCTAGGCCGCGTTTGCCACCACCCGATCTCCATCCATCCATCCATCCATTGTGTGCTTTGCAGCAGCTATCTGCGGCATCGAATTTTGTGTTCTCGGTGCCATGGCTTCGCCATCTGTGCCATCGCGGGAGCCAGGTGGTGTGAAGAAGCGTGGGAAGTATACGACCCTGACGATGGAGAAGAAAGCTGCCATAATCAAGCTAATAGAGAGTGGACGTTCGCAGCTAGATGTCGCCAAAGAATACCACCTCTCCAAGCAAACGGTATCCGACTATGTCAAAAACCGCATTAATATTTTGACAGCGTTCGAGAATTCATGCAACAAGAGCCAAAAGAACGACAGTAAGGGCGTTCATTCAGCCCTTGAAGAGGCTCTGCAGTTGTGGCTTAAAGGAGTTTTGGCAAAGAACCTGCCCGTGTCGGGAGATTTGTTAAAAGAAAAGGCCGAGTCATTCGCTGTCAAAATGGGCATTGTGGATTTCATAATTACGGACGGATGGCTTCGTGGCTTCAAGAAGAGGCACGGAATTTTGTTCAAAAAAGTGAGCGGTGAAAGGGAAGCGGTGGAGCAGACTATTGTGTCCGATTACCGTGCCACGAAGTTGCAAGCCTTGCTTAAAGAATGCGCTCTTTCGGACATATTCAACTGTGACGAGACGGGACTTTTCTTTAAGATGCTGCCGGATCGTACCCTATCATTTTCGGGGGATTCATGCGCCGGTGGGAAGCTCAGCAAGGAGCGCATAACAGTCATGGTAGGTGCCAACGCCACCGGTATGGAGAAACTGCCTCTTCTTGTTATTGGGAAGGCGAGAAACCCGAGGTGTTTTAAGGCTGTGAGAACCCTCCCTGTTGAATACAGGAGTAATTCCAAGGCATGGATCACTCAGTCCTTGTTTTAACATTACGTACGCAAACTTGACCGCAAGTTTGCGCGACAGAGCAGAAAGGTAATCTTTTTTGTGGACAACTGTGGTGCGCACGGTAGCGTGCCGAACCTTGAGGCCATTCGGCTGGAATTTTTGCCACCTAATACCACAAGCGTGCTCCAGCCAATTGATCAAGGCGTGATCCGAAACATCAAGGCACACTACCGTGCCCGCCTGCTCAGCCGCACCGTCTTGTGCCTTGACAATGGGAAGGCCTACAAGGTCGACATTCTGGCCGCCATCCACATGTTAGCCGAAGCTTGGAAGGCGGTGAAGCCAGATACCATCGCGCATTGCTTTAGGCATGCCGGGTTCGCTGCTGCTGAAGAGCCCGAGGCGGATATCGTGTCTGCACTAGTCATCTACCTTCATCACTCATTCACGTCCCATAATACCAAATTTGATAATGTGAAGCTAGCAAAACGAACGCGAGTGCACCATGAGCGTGGTGCATAGTCATGACTAGTTATAACATCAAAATCACTAAATGCATGTCATGATTTTCACGTCAGGGTCTGTCATTCACGTTCACCATGCAGTTATGTCATACCATACCAGTTTTGCAAAATGTCATGTGAACTAAACCACCGCAAGAGCATCAAGAAATGCAAATCATGACATTGATGACACATGTCATAATTTCATGTTATGACAAGTCAGTTATTTTCCTCATACAGTCATGTTATTACATACCAATTTTGGTAACGATACCATTATCGAAACTGTCAGTAGAACTAAAAAAATTCGTAGGCGGCTAGATAGATAGAAATAGATAGATAGATAGATACGCTCAAAGTCACCAAAGTTTGCTAAGAAATGCTTCGCAATTAAAAACCACAAATAGAGGCCCCAAAAGACAAAATTCATAGTAAGGCTCACGTTCCGGCAGGCTTGATGCCTTCAGGTACTCTGCAAGTGATTATTGATGTCACGAATAACACGCTCAGCGGATGCTGCGGTCGATGGACCGAGACATGACTCCATTAATAACAAAACCCACACACACGGCATGCCCTCTAAATACAAATATACAAAAAACCAATATTATACCTTCAGATTTGAACTCAGACCTCCTAAGCTTACACTCCAACGGTGCTACACCCTAAACTGTCGTAGTCAACGTTAGGTATCTCTAGCCTCAGAGTTCCACTCAAGATTTGGGACGATCTTACTTGTCACCACTGATTATCTTGACGCCAATGTCCTGATTGGTCATACTCGGTATCAGTTGGGGATTTCGATGCTCCTGCCGCTGCCGACGTGATCACCAGTCGTCGTCATCGTCGCCTGATGTCAGTGACGTGGCGATGTCTCGGTGGTTGGACCAAGTGGCCACAGGTGATACTTGGTGCTGCATGCTGACATGGCCATCTTCATCGGCTTGCTTAGAAGAGGGTTTGTGCCAGGAACGTCTGCGCCTGCTGTGCGCGGCTGCTGCATCCCTCGCAGCCTCCCTCACAGCTGGTCGAGGTCTCTGTCTACTTCTCAGGACGCCCACCTCCCAGATTGCCGAGTCGCTGGCGACGCGCCCTTCTTCTGCCAAGCGCACGTCGACAATGCCAGCTCGTCGCTGCTCGCGCGCCGATCGTCCGCTGGGGTCACGCGCCTCGGGCCTCGCTGTACAGTGTGCCTGCTCGCACCTTTTCCAATCTTCTCCGAACTTCCTCGTCGTCTTTGTCTCCGAAGGGCTCCTACTCATGACAGTCGGTCAACTGCCAGCTCGTATTTTGTTAAATTTTAAAGATGAGGTTGACCCACTTCCTGAATGAAAAGCAGGCCCTTGTCGACTATCGGTATGGTTTTCGAAAGAATAAGTCGACCTAAGAGGCACTGCTGACTTTTCAAAGAAGAAATATCAGCTAATTTCGAAATACCGGGTACCGGGTACGACTATATACTGTAGGTGTTTTACTTGATTTCAAAAAAGCTTTTGATTCAATAAAGCATCAGATTTTATTTCAAAAACTACCTTCATATGGAATAAGTGGCATTGCCTTAAATCTTATTAACAGTAATTTTCAATCAGAATGCAATTTGTAAGCCATAACAGCGTATGCTCAGAGTTGGAGGAAATAAAGTGTAGCATACCCCAGCGGTCTATTTTGGGTCCCCTATTTTTTATCATTTATATTAACGATATTTTGAATATAGTGCATGCACCTGAAATGGTTATCTACACTGACAATACTAGTTTATTTTTTTCTGGTGAAAATTTAGCTCACTTGATATGTTACCATTCAACCAACTTCACCTAAATGGGCCTAAACCTAAATACATTGTTTCCAAACCTAGGAACAAACCTGATGATGCGGACATTTCTCTTTCTTTTGATGCTTGTGTTATTGACTGGGTATCAGTATTTAAATTTCTGGGAGTATTATTCAAGCAATATTTCAACTAGACTCATCATGTAAACAAATTACATACTAGAATTTCTAAATCTAATGAAATGTTTTCTAAAATCCGGCATCGTTCCGACTTGGCTATGACGTCAGCTGTATTACTCGATACATTCTCAGCTACATTACAGCTTACTGATCTGAACAAGCAAAAACAACTTAGGTAGGCTGACAGTATATCGAAAGCAAGCTGTCCGACGCATAGAAAACCTTAGATGGTCTGATCACACAGCACTATTCTTCTCAAAAAATGAGTTCTGAAAAATTGATCAGCTATATAACATAAGATTTGCTACACACATACCCAGAGAAATGCGAAAACATAAACCAACATTTTCACAAATGTATTTAACCACACATGAGCAGTATTGTTTAAGATATGGCCACTTCGAACTTCCGCTTTGTAGAAATAAATAAGGAACTAATCAACACAAATACCTGATATCTTTTTTTCTAAATCAACATTCCTAAGTTCTAAATTATCTGGATGAAGCCATGTCAAAATCTGAGTTTAATCTTGTCGTTAAATCTTATTTCTTGTCCTATGTGCCCTCATAGTATGAGCAGGGCCTCAAGCTATATGTGGCATACGACATGTGTATTAAAAATAGTACATTTGTTTAAATTACATTATGTATGTATTATGAACAGTCTCTGATAGCAGTGTGTCATGTTTTTTCTTTTATCTTAGTGCTTCCACTTTCTGTTCAATTGTATAATTTATGTATGTTTGAAATCCTGTTGAACAGTGCTTGGGTGGTAGGGCCATTGTCAGGCAGTTAATCTGCCTTTGGCTGTGTCATCCCTTGTCATGTAACATATTGAGATGTAACATTTTAAGAATAAACAATATTATCATTAATATAAAATAACATTCTAAGTGACACCAACAAATAAAAAGGGTGTTCTACACTTGCCACAATGGCAACAGACGGCGCTGACTAACGCTCCACCGTTTAAATGCACATGTATACCCTTTAAAGTGGACGAAGGTATGGGAGCATCATACGCGTTATTTGAAGGTCACATGTTAGGATCCTACAGGTGGCAAGTGATGTTTTTGTCTCCTTTTGTTTTTTCACATTTACATTGAAATTACTTCTATTAATATTCCCTATACTTCTCTTGGCATTGTTGTCAGTTCTCATAACGTCTAACAAAGAAAGCGAGCACTTAAAATTTACTACTTCTTTCGTTTGGTGCGGTGTGTTTTTCGAGCGGAAGCATGCGTGAATGTGTGGGTGTTTCAAATCGCTTTCCCATGTTTTCCAGTGATATGAATATTTTTCATCAATCCACGAGGTTCGTATCACCCATGTTTCACGGTACATTCGTGGTTAGATAGACAAAAGCCTGCGGCTATGCTTTCATAGAAATAGTTGAAGCAACAAGCAAATTACCACCACTTCACAGCATGTCTCCGAATGTCTGCTTCAGTGCATTTGCAACAGGCGTATGTGTTAAGTATGTAAGTGAATGCACGTAGAACCCAAGTGTTCATTTCACAACAGCAGGCTTATAAAAAGCACTGGCTATATTTCTGCCCGAAAAGCCTTTAGAAGCTCTTAAGTGTTTTGTAATATCATAACTCAAATGGACAGTTAACAATTTAGCAGTCTGCAAATGCACTTTATGAAAGCATGAATTTCCGGCAGCCTTTTACATTCTCTCCTAAACCTAGACCGCCAATCGGGATAGATGTCTAAATGCCTCTAGTCCCATTTCAGCTATTGAATCTTGTCTAACAAGAAGTGGCTGCATAATTCGCCCTCACTGGCATAGCGCTGCGAAATTTCCACATAGCTGCACGAAGCAGGTACGGCCTTTTTGACCCTGGCTATCACGTCAACAGACATGTGACGACTTGTCACAGCCAGCCACATCAGGTCAGGAACCATTTCAAGTAGTCTACACAAGTGTTCCTCCTTGACAAGCGTCCTCCTGAGGCATACGTGGGACAGCCTAAGCTTGCGACACCCTGAAACAGACACAAACGCTTCACCAGTACACGAAGTGTGGCCAAGAAACAGAAGCTTGAGGTTCAGCCCGTGAAGCAGGATGATTTGCACCCCTCGATCACCGATGTCCGTCCCTTCTATGTCCAGAGCGACCAGATTGCTTAGAAGAGGCAAAATGTTGCTCAGGCCCCCGTCATTGACTCGGTGGCAACCTTCCAGGCTCAGCGCACGAAGTGAAGGCCATTGTTCAAGTCGGCCCAGTTCCACACTTGACACAAGATTACATTCGGCAAGGTCCAGCAACTGTAGAAACTTCAAGCTGGGCTGGCCAAGCTGAGCACGAAGGAACTCTGCCGGATGAAAGAAGCAACCCCGCAATGACAGGTATGTGAGGGACTGTGGGAAATCCGAGATTGACATCTTGGTCGTTACCATGTTGCGTGCAAGGAAGGCACCAGTAAAATGTAGCACCTGCCAAAAAAAAGAAAAAGCCACAGCCACATCAGAGATGGCAATGCAAGACAAGCGAGCAAACAATGACACAATCTTCATTCATACGCAGGGTAGATGTACTGCATGTTAAATTTAAGTACTGAATACTTGTGAATCTCTCACATACTAAAGGCATTTCGTAGTACTGCCATTTCATTTTTCCTCACTCGGTAACTAGCAATGTACTTATGCACTATTGAAACAAAACTTAAAGGAAAATACTAATAATTAAGAAAGAAAATGAACACCGCTTTAGTTTCTTTACAATACATTGTCCATCTAAATTACATGGGTATTTTTTTCAGTTTATTTTACTTATTTACAGGATTTCAGCAAACTTAGGACCCCAGAATACAATACACAAGAGGCCACACACGCCGCTTCGCCAATGCTCCGTGCACATGACGAAATTGCTACAGTTGCTGCAACTTTTCCGCGAGGGGGCAGACATGCGTACTGCAGGCCGATTTCTCTGCTTCGGTGCTCTTGAAAGTACGCAGCAGGCATGTGTAGCGAGCATTTAAAGAGACCCTGGAACGGTCTTTTGAAGTTTTGTCAGCATTTAGGCTAGAGCATTATCAAATCATTCGCACCACAAATTTAGCAACACGCCGCGTATCAAAACCGCTACGGACAATTATATTCTCACCTCTGCTTTGCCTCCTGAACTCATGAGAAATGCTGGCGATTGCAGAGCTCTCATGAGAGCACTTTAAGATTTAGGTTTGCCCAGTCTAGACCTCAGAGATGGCACGCGGACAGGTTTTGTTCAATCTCTGAGGCTGTCCCACACGCAGAGATAAAAGCAACATTTCGATTTTCGGAAAAGATTCCAGAGCAGAAAAAAACGGTGCTTTAGAGCAGTCATAAGTGTTTACGGAGCAGATGGCAAAATATTCGAAACGACTCCTGGTATTTAAAGTGTTATTTAGGCATCTAATAAATATGAATACTTATCCAACACGTTGCTCATAAAACAATCGCTTGAAATAGCATGATGCCAACAAGCAGATAGATGATCACTGAACACTGAGAAAGATGAGCTGACTATATTTAAAATGCCAATACTAGTGGCGAAAATCGCATAGAAGGGATAAAGTAGAGCACCAAATTACAAACAGCCACTACCACATTTAAATACTGCTGAAGCGGCAGTTTATAATCTGTACGAGTATTGTACGCTATTTTTGCCAGCCTTGAACATTTCAAAAGTAAAAATAAGCTAAATGAGCTATACACCTGAAATTCTAGTTAATGTCGCATAAATGAGTTCGAAGTTGATGAAGTGTCAAATTCAATCAGTCCCACAGCAATGTCGCCACAGCAGCAGTTAGTAATCATTATGATGCTGAACTATTCTCACTCACTTCAAAAAGGTAGTCTGCTTGCCTGACATATATCCAAATTATTACAACATGTATAATTGCCAACATGCTAGTATACAGCTACTGTTTTTATTTTTAGCTCCATTTTGAAGAAGGTTCAGCGCAGTTACTAACAAATACTATACTTTGGAGCAGCATCGAGCGGCATTTCTTTTTTAGAGCAGTTTGGAGCAATCGGAGCAGCATTTCCATTACGGCACACTGTGCCAGACAGCACGCACATCATCTGGCAACAGTTATGAAGATTGCGGAGTGGTTGATATTTGCTCCAACAAGTACCGTCACTCTACCATCTGATCCTAGGCCAGAAGTCTGGTTGATGTCACACAGAGTTCATGCTCGTTCACATGACAAAAAATCAGGGGTCTTCAGGAACTTTCGAAGCTATGTGCACAAATTTACAAGGGCCACACTGTCTGTTGGAAACCAAATTTACAGATCTTCAGGAGAGGATTTAAACCTAAAATAACTAGAATTCAACGAAAAAGGTTAACATAAAAAATGGCTCCTAAGACATTTTCTTCCTAGACAACTTTCAATCATAGTTTCTTGAAGTTGCATAGGTAATCACTTACGGTATGACACAAGTTGCAAACCTTCATTTAGATAAGAAAAACTAATAAACAGTTATTACGCAATGCCTTGTTGCTTTTTCTGAATCTTCATAACTGCTGTAAATGTAGAAGGTGACGTATGTAATGTGCCCATCACAAAAAAATTGAGAACATCAGTAGCTTCTGCACGGAACCAACACCATGAATTTTTGGATACTAAGAAAAGGCTTCTCAGAAAAGGGTTTGTAAGGACTTTCAAAGCTATATGTCCACTATCTCCTGCTGCTTGGTCTTGGAAGTCTTCCTAAGGTTGTTTGACTTAGTGATGCACGTCATATCGCTGATTGTCTCCGCCTTTTCTGCACATGAGTCTGCTGTAGCTGTTAATTCCTTAACAGCTGCTTCTAGTTGTTTTTCCTTCTCTAAAAGCATTTCAACCTCCTCAATGCAACATTTCATTTTCTGCTTCTGATCCTCCTGCTCCAGCCTTTTCCGAGTTTTCAAAAATGCATGGTGTAGCTTCCGTGCAGACGTTACTGATGTTATCAATTCTTTTCTAATGATCATGTTACATATGCCATCTGCTACATTTACGGCATCACAAATAATACACTGCGATATTCGCGACAATTTAAAAAATTCAAATTCAAGGATTTACGAAATTTCCAGCACTTTCAAGGCTTTGGAAATAAACTTCTCAAATTCAAGGGTTTTCAGGGAAATGAAGCACCTGCGTGTACCCCGGTCGCGTTACCAGAGCATGTCGTTCTGTGAATGGGCGGTTCAAAACGCGTCTGGCTGTGTTGCAGCAATCTGCAGCGATTCGAAAATTTAAAGCGTAATAAATTACACGGTTCACGCAGAGAGCTCAAATAGGTCTGAAAATGACCCACGGACTCGGTCTACCAGCCCAACGTGTTTGTACAAAATCGTCAAAACCATTTCGGGTCCCTTGAAATTTAAGCTGCATTTTTACGTCTGTGTATTCTGAGTAAGAACTTGCGGTACAGTGAGAGGTCTCGAACAACAACGGAGAGGTCCTGAATGGAGTACGGTTCGCAAAAACTGTGCTTCATTACACTGAAGGTCGATGGGCTTTGGCGGGAACTGAAAAAAATTCATATCACCCCAAATTTTGCACAAGACACGATCGTATCTCCAAGGTCCTACTGCATGAGGTTTCCTGTTTTCCGGAATAAACATTGTTGCAAGTTAGCGCCTCTGTGCGTCTTGTCTTTCTCTGCTCGCGTTTTTTCACACTGTAAAGACTCCTGCTGTTCGCGTTCCCATGTGTTCTGGAAGCTGGAGTGTGGGAGTATGGCCCTATGCACTCGAAAGAGTGTCATATTCCTACAATCCGGCTTCCACAACCAATGGGAGCGCTAACAGCGGGAGTCATACTTCATGAATAGGTTCAAATCGCTCTGCCCAAAATAAACAAGAGCTCCGGGCAACTGACGTGCCTTTGCGACCCTTAGAATACACAAAGTAAATTAATTTATTCATACAAACATGAATTTGGACACACAAGACGATAAATTTTGGATGGTTAGTAAGACTTGTATTATCTTTCTATTTTTCTTTTTTATCCTTTCTTGGTGCTTCTGTTTGCTTATCTCCTTAAGATTCTGTATTTGTTTATTTAAAGTATTACTGGTTATACATTTTTCTCTGAGAAAGAAAAGAAGGAGAGGGGCATATATAGCTTTGTACTGTGGCTACTGTTTTCCTAAGGCTGGAGCGGGTCATATGCATGCATCGCCTTGTGTGTGAACGGCCCGGCGCAGCAGGCCAATCTTCGAACTACCTGAACATTACCTCAATTTATGTGTGGGATGCGAGAAAGTGGCAACGCTTCACTTTTCCCTTTTTCTTTGGTCACTTCCTCTGGCGGCCCTTGCTATGTGCCCATCGTGACGATATGCGAATAAAGCACAAGATGTGCGATTTTTCGTGCGGTGCGGCAGCCAGAGTGGTGACGTTTAATGATGTATCATTGCATCGCACAGCCGCGTCGCCTGTCCGGCGTGGATCAAACTGGCAAGATATTTTCGTCTCGTCGCTACATCGGACCTCCGCATGGCCGAAGTCAATCAAAGCGTGAGCAGACAAATGGCATCATGCTGTTGGTGGCACCATCTACCTGCTGCCGCTCCCATCACCTGTGGTCCAGGCGAGTCAATGGAGTGGAGCGAGCCTGGATTTGCTGACAAACACCGAGTACATTTCCCGTGTGACATAACTGCTACATACACCTGTTTGGTTCATTTATTAGAAGCACACTGCTGATACATGAAGGCAGTGGTTCTGTTTTTCGGGGGAGGGAAGCGTGCCCTTGGCGCATGCGCTGCTGCTCGGTGCTCTGGCGGTGAAATCTCGTGTGACCTAAACCTAAACTCGAGCACAACATTGAACCCGAAACTCATGAACACGGCACATCCCTCCCTACTCTGTTTGAATCACTACTGCTCTTCATAACGGTCGGGTGGACGGCGACGTCTCGGAGGCCGCTGTGGTGGTCCTTGCAGAGCATCATCGGATGGGAGCGGCGCTGGCGTGGCACAGCCTTCTGGAGCACCCGCAGTCGTCGCGTCTTACTGATTATCAGCCTTGCTGTCTGGGAGGAAAAACGAAAGCAGTGAAGACCGGCAGGGACTTCCCAGTGACTCTGTTGCAGATGCATCGCCATCGGTAGCTTCTTGGCTTGTAGTCTGAATATGGTTTTTGTGTAGTTGCACGACCCCTCTGTCCGTGCTGACCAACCAAAACCGACGACCTACTTGTTTGATGATGGTTCCTTTCATCTATGCCGGGTCGCCAACGAAGTTCTTCACGTAGACGATTTGCTTTTTCCAAATGCGCCACTTCTCCTTTCTTTTTTCTTCTGTGATCTGCGAGTCTGAGGGCTTCAGGTATGTCAATGCAGTCGAAAATTCACGACCAAACATAATCATGGCGGGTGTTTTCTTTGTGCCCACATGCGTTGTCGTGTGCTGTTTTAGAAGAAAACACGAAAGTCGGTGGGCGATAGGGACGTCCT